AGGAGGGTTGGGGAGCTGGGACAGGACCTGGGAGTTCTCACTTCCCACTTTTGTAGCTCAGCCTCTGCTCGGTGGCACGGATCACATGGCAGAGCCTCTGCTTCCAGCCTGGAAGAGATCCAGGCCTCTAATCCCGGCTGCTTTAATTGAAGGGCACTTCATTAGCAGGCACCAGCAGGAGCTGCCTCTCCAGAGCCCCTCCAGCTTCCCTGCTTCGTTTGCTGCCAATCAGGCTGATCACTAATCAATGATCACTAATTAATGCTGGAGATGTGACGGTGGGAAAGGCGGTTTTGGGGAGAAAAGTCTCTGCTTTGGGGGTGCTGGGGGAAGCTGCTGCCCCTGTAAGGCTCCAGCATCCCTGGAGGAGCTGGGGCTGCCCCTGGATCCCTGGAGGTGCCCAGGGCTGGGCAGGGCTTGGAGCAGCCTGGGATGGTGGGAGGTGTTGGGGTTGGAATGGGCTTTAAGGTCCCTCCCAACCCAAACCACTCTGGGACTCCGACTCTACTCCTGCCTCTTGGAATTGCACCTTTTCAGCTAAATCTGCTCACTGTGTGGAAGGTGTGGGAATGGCTCAGGCTGGAAGCTGTGGGCACCCTGATCTCTTCCAGAGGAGCTGGATTCTGGTGGATTCTAGTGGATTTTGCTGGGTTCTGATGAGTTCTGGTGGGTTCTGGTGGATTCTGGTGCATTCTGCTGGGTTCTGGTGGCTGTGTGAACCAGGGCAGCCTGAGCTGCCCCAGCCCGTGGTGAGCAGAGCTGTGCCTGTGGTTGAGCTTTCTGCTGACCTCGCAGAGCTGCTCCCCCATCCCACATTTCCTTTTCCTCTTCCTCTCCAGAGGAGTGAGGAGGATTTGCCCGCTCTGCAGAGGAAGAGACTCTGGATAAGGATTTATCTTTTGGCTTCCCCTCGCCCACGCCAAAGATTTTGCTGAGGTTTGTGTTGCCTCTGGGCTGAGGGTGCAGCTCTGCCCCTTCTGCTGCTTTTCATGGAACTGTGGGGAAGGGGCTGGGCCCACCTCGAGCTCTGGCTTTGGCACTCTGGCACACCCTGCAAGCTGCATTTCAGGGAACCAGCAGGATTTGTGAACCCCTCACGTTCAAAGCTCCCATATTTTTCAAGTTACCTTGAAAAGTCACCTTTTCCCCATGAATGAGCTGGATTTCCTAAGGACTGCTGTTTGTTTGGGAGTCTGGGATTGGGAATGGTGCGGAGCCAGTGTGGATGTGGTGGTGGCAGTTCTGCCCTGCTGTTGGTGGATTGGAGCCTGTGATTGTTGAAGCTGAGCCGTGGGAAGTTCCCCTTGGTGCCAGGGAGGTTCACTGGCAGGGTCTGGTGATCCACAGGGAACTGGGAGGAGGTAAATGAGGAATGTGGGGATACCCTGGGGGGCACAGCACATCCTGGGGCTGTGCAGGGGGAGCCAGGAGCTCTGCCAGACCTGGACTGAGCTGTGGGACCCTCACGGTTTTGGGAAATATCCCCCTGAGAGATTAAATAAAATCCCACCCCCTGCCATGGGCAGGAACATCTTCCACTGTCCCAGGTTGTTCCAAGCCCCATCCAAGCTGGCCTTGGGCACTGCCAGGGATCCAGGGGCAGCCACAGCTTCTCTGGGCACCCTGTGCCAGGGCCTCACCCTCACGGAGGAATTTATTCCCAATATCCCATCTAACCCTGCCCTGTGGCAGTGGGAAGCCATTCCCTGTGTCCTGTCCCTCCAGGCTCTTGTCCAAAGCCTTCCAGGATCCCCTGTGTCCTCTCAGCCCAGCTCTCATCGCTCTGCCTGAGCTGCTCTTGGCACTTGTGGAGCAAACACCTTCCCATGTCAGGTGAAGGAAAATCGATGACAGCTCCAACCAGCCGGATAACGCCAGAGCAAAGGTGGAGTTTGTTTTCCCAGCTCCCTGCCTGCTGCTTCCCAACAGGAAACCTCGCTGGGACACGGCTGCTGCCAGCTCTGCAGCTCCATCCCTTCGAGACCTCCCGGGCAGGAATGGCATCCTGGGTCCTGCCCTGTGTGACCACTGGAGCTGCTGGAGGCTGGGGGATGTTCTGGAGCAGAGCCAGGGGGATGTTCTGGAGCAGAGACACGGGATTTCCCTGTGGAGATGAGCTGTGATAACCCCCGGGTGAATCCACCCCTCCTGTGGGATCAGCACCCGTGGCTGGGCTGGCCGGGCTGCAGGAGAGGATGGAGGTGAGGATCCTCCACAGGACCCTGACCCAGCGTGGGCTGATCCCACCCATCCATCCTGATCCCACCCATCAATCCCCAACCTTCCTGATCCATCCATCCATCCCAAACCTTCCTGATCCACCCATCCATCCCCAAACCTGCCAATCCCACCCATCCATCCTGAAACCTTCCCAATCCCACCCATCCATCAATCCCCAACCCTCCCAATCCCACCCATCCATCCTGATCCCACCCCTCCATCCCAAACCTTCCTGATCCACCCATCCATCCCCAAACCTGCCAATCCCACCCATCCATCCTGAAACCTTCCCAATCCCACCCATCCATCAATCCCCAACCCTCCCAATCCCACCCATCCATCCATCCCCAGCCCTCCCAATCCCACCCATCCACCCTGATCCCACCCATCCATCTCCAACTTTTCTGATCCATCCATCCACCCTGAACCCTCCCAATCCCACCCATCCACCCTGAACCCTTCTAATCCCACCTATGCACCTCGATCCCACCCATCCATCCCAAACTTGCCCAATCCCACCCATACATCCCCAACCTTCTAAATCCCACCCATCCACCCTGAACCCTCCAATCCCACCCATCCACTCTGATCCCACCCATCCATCCCAAACTTGCCCAATCCCACCCATCCATCCCTCCCAATCCCACCCATCCACCCTGATCCCACCCATCCATCCCAAACCTTCCCAATCCCACCCATCCATCCCCGACCCTCCTGGAATTCTCCACAGCGCCGTGGCTGAACCACCTCCAGTAATGCCTGCCATAGAAAATCATCAGACATTTTTGTGTCCTTCCCCTAGAACGTGTGAAAATCAGGTCTGTGTTCTTCCTAAAGGACTTTTTGTGGCCATGGAATGAAACCCATGGATTTTCCAAGCTGCAGGGAGCCAGCTCTGCTGTGCTGCAGCAGCCCTGGAGTCCGTGGGCTGCCTGGGGTTGTGTTGGGTGATGGTGGAGGAGGTTTTTTTTTCTGCTTTTTTAATATCTTCATCAGCAAGTCTGGCACTAAATGGAGTGATGATATTCTCTGAGGTGAATTTGGGTACTTAAATATCCTGGCCTGAATAGGGAGCCAAAAATAGACACCTTCAGCAGTTCCGTGTGTCTGCTGCTCTGAAGGACGAGGCTGGATCCCTCCGATCCTGCTGGGAATGCAGCTTGTGTTGTTCCCTCCTTCCCTCCCCGGGGCCTGGCCCTGCTTTCCCTGCCCCAAGGATGGGTTCTGAGGGATCTGTGCTGCCCTGTGCCCCCCAGCCCCAGTGGGGCTGCACTGGAGGCCACTGGCAGCTCTGCAGCCAGGTGGGAGCTGCAGCTTTGGGAGTTTTTGCCTCCAAAAGTGGAGGTGGCTCCTGGGTTTGCAAATATCCACGAGTGTCTCAGAACTGGGGTTTGAGCTCCTCCACGTTTTCCTCCTCAGCTGATGGAAAAATCCCTCAGGGATCCCCTCTGCACCCCGAGGGTGGATGTTGAGAGGGGACAGGGTGGGATTGGGGTGGCCTTTGTCCAGCTCTGCTGGGCTCCTGCCGGGGGTTGTGTGGCCTGGAATTCTGGCCTGGAAACATCCCAGACTGGAGCTGGTGCTGCTCGGGTGTGCCTGGAGCCTGGGCTGGCTGCTGGGGTCCTCAGTGCCCTCACAGGGGCTCAGCTCTGAGGGACACCCTGCAGATGTCCTGGCTGGGTTCTCCAGGGCCACCAGCCCACCCAGGTGCTGCCAGCCCCGGGTGGGGGTCCCTGCTGTTCCCTGGTCTGGGTGACCCCAGGAATGGGGAATGCTCCACGCTGTGGGTGCCAGCCTGGCTGTGCCACTGCTCCCACCCAGCTGTCCTGTGACCCCCCAGGTCCAGGGCCTTTATCCCCCCCAAATCTCCAGTGGCACAAACACTACAAACCTGTCAGGAATGGGAGCTAAACCACCAATTTTCCTCAAATGTGGCTGCTCTCTGCTTGAACGTTTGACTTTTTTCCTATTCTTTTTTTTTCCTTTGGAGCATTTCAGAGATCTCCTGCTCCCAACCTGACCCTGCTGCTGGGGAGAAGCTGCTGTCAGCTTGAATCCAGCTCATTTTCAGGTGGAGATCATTCCCAGCTGCCACAGAGCTGGTGGTGCAAAGCAGCCTGGCAGCCTCGTGGGATGCTCAGCTCCCTGCTCAGCCCCGGGAGGGGTTTGCCCCCTGCTCTGGGGACAAGGGGCAGTGCCAGGGCAGCCAGCACGGAGCGACTTCCACGGAGGAACGGGAAAAGCTCGGAATCCTTCATTCAGCCTCGGTGTTAATTGTCATTAATGACTTCCAGCGCTTTCCTGAAGGTTGGGAGCAGCCACGAGAGGGCAGGAGCTGCTGCTGCTGTTGGGTAGGAAAGGCGGTAAATCCCAATTCCTAAGGATTGCCCGAACGATTCTCCTTTTTCTGGAGGGTTTGATCCCCAAGCTGCTGCTCAGTCCCCGTCCTTGGCTGTTTCCCTCCCTGGGGAGCAGCAGGAAAGCTCCCCTGGAGTGAATCCAAAGCTTCTCCAGGCCAGGGGAGCTGCAGAGACCCCAACATGTCCCAGGCTCCCTGGTTTGTGGTGGCCTTGGAGCCCCTCCTGTGTCAGGACTCCTTCTCCAGGAAATTTTTCCCTGCCCATCTGGAATTCAGAGGATAATGAGCAATTTCAGCGTCTGGGAGAGATCTCAGGGCAAGGAAGTAGAGCGCCAGCTGAGAGACTCGTGCTGCTCTTGTGGGGTTGGGAATTTCAGTGCAGGTTTGAAGAGAAGGGAGAATGATTAACCAGGAAAGGAGCAGGGTGTTCCAGAGAGGAAATCACCATGAGCCCTGCTGCTGGGTTTTACTGGGATTTGGCTGTTCCTAAAGCACTGCTTCTTCAGGATTTAACTTTCATGAACAATGAGGGATCCTAAATCCCTTCCTTGTCACTGCTCCCTGCTCACGGTGTCGTGTCCATCTTTACTCACAGGCTGTCCCCAGGTGCAAACACTGTCACACCTGAGGAGCAAAGATTCCAACCAGGAAATGGTGAAAGCAGCAGCAAGGGCATCTCTGGGAGAAGTTTCTGAGGGGCATCAGTGGCATTGGGCTTGGGAAACTCCAAGCATCAGCCCCTGAGGGAAACACTCACAGGAAACCTAAGGAAACTTGCCCAAGCCTTGAGGAGAGAAAGCGAAGCTCTAAGATGTGCTCAAGCCATTGAGCAGCCCCAAAACCACCCCAAAATCCAACTAAACCCAGAGAAAATAGGCAAAACCCCTAAAAATGCAGGCAGCAGTGGGATCTGCTCAGAGAGCAGCTTAAATACCTCAAGGTTCTTTAATCCTGTTTTCTGGAGTTTAGGATTTTTGCTGCTCACTGGTTTTAACCTCCCTTCCCCTCAGCTGTCAGGGGGCAGCTGGCTCAGGTCTGGTTGGTCCCACTGGGGTGAAACACCCCAGAGTTCCTTTGGAACAGGAGGAATTCAGGGCTTTGGAGCACCGGGGTGAGGAGCTGGCTGAGAATAAACGCCAGGTTTGGGCTGTGCCAGGTTCCTGTGCCAGCTTTGCTGCAGTTGGAATGTGGGCAGGACTGTGCTCCAGGGGAAATCGGGTCCTAGGAGCAGCAGGAGGTGCAGGGTTTGCCTCCCAAGCCTTTCAAACACAGATATTTATCCTGCTTCCCAAACTGCTGAAAAGGAAACAAAATTCCTCGAGTCTCCTCTGAGCCAACAGGAAATGCTTCTGGATTTGGATTCCAACGTGACTCAGGTCAGAGATTAAAAATGACCAAAACAACTGCACTGGAAGTGTGGAGTCAACAAAAACAAGGCAGGAGATGAAAAATGATCCCTAAAAACGTTTGGAAAAAATATTTCTATGTCATATAAAAGGTGCTGCTGCTCCCAGCAACGTCCCAGTGACCACTTTGTGTTCTCAGAAATGAAATTTATCCCATCCCACTGTGGATCAGAGCAATCTCTGCCCGGGTGTTTTGTTGAGCTGTGTCCTGGAGGATTTCTGGTTCATCCCTGGGTGTTTTTCCTGGGATTTCTACACTTGGAGGTCTTGGTAGTTCCCTTTTAGGGAGATGGTGTTGTTCTCCTGGGATTTGCAGTCAAACACAAGAGGTTACATGCCCAAAATTAAATAGGAAAATGACTCAGCAATTAGTCACTGCATTGAAACACTTCTTTTTCTCTTCTACCTTTAAGTCCAGCAGAGCTCAGATGATTTAGGGCTTAAAAACATCCTGGCACAAACAAAGAAACCCCTTTAGCAGCAGAAAGACAAATGAATCTATTGATACAACAGAGTTTATTCAGCCTAAAAGAGCTCAGAGGGGGATGCATTTCACAGGACCAATTTTGGAAGGTGCAACAATATCAATTCCTCATTTGCAACAGAAAAAAAAAATCACTAAAGAGAAACTGGGTTTGCAAACTTTTAACTGCAGGGAAACTGCTACAGCTGGAAACTTTCTGTGTCATTAATTCTATAAAAAAGTGTACAAAAGGCAGCTATAAAAATATTTTGTTACTCTGAGAGAGTGCAACGCCTAAAAACATTGAGTAAAATATGATAATCATCAATAAAACACTGAATATTAGCAGTACCATCAATTTCCCCAGCACTTCAGCCCTGTGAGAGGACGAGCCTTGCTCCTGAGCCCCGGGTGCTGCTGTTGGGGTGCCTGAGCTGCCCCGGGTGCTGCTGTTGGGGTGCCTGAGCTGCCCCGGGTGCTGCTGTTGGGGTGCCCGAGCTGCCCCGGGGCTCAGCAGCCGTGCGGCCCCTGGCCCACGTCGTAGCCCAGCCTGTGCAGGTCCTTGGTGACCACGTTGAAGGAAAGGGTGACAAAGCCCTGCGAGCGCACCCTGGTCACTGCGGGGGTCGTTAATGAATGGAGTTAATTGAGGGTCAGTTAAAGGGTGGAAGAGGGGCTGCCTGGACTCACCTGCCCGTCCCTCGCCCTGCGCCACCACCTTGGGGTCCGTGAACTCCGGGCGCCGCCCCGTGAACCAGCTGGGAGGGGACACCAGGCAATGAGTGGGGACAAAACCAAAATACAAATTAACGAGTGGGGACAAAACCAAAATACAAATTCATGAGTGCAAAAGAATGGAGAAAAAATACAAAATACAAATTAATGAGTGGGGACAAAACCAAAATACAAATTAATGAGTGCAAAAGAATGGAGAGAAAATAAAAATACAAATTACTGAGTGCAAAAGAGTGGAGAAAAAAAAAACAAATTAATGAATAAAAAAGAATGGATAAAAAATTATAAAATACAAATTAATGAATGCAAAAGAATGGATAAAAAAAATAAAATACAAATTAATGTATGCAAAAGAGTGGAGAAAAAATAAAAATACAAATTAATGAATAAAAAAGAATGGATAAAAAATTATAAAATACAAATTAATGTATGCGAAAGAGTGGAGAAAAAATAAAATATAAATTAATGAATGCAAAAGAGTGGAGAAAAAATAAAAATACAAATTAATGAATACAAAAGAATGGATAAAAAAATATAAAATACAAATTAATGAATGTAAAAGAATGGAGAAAAAATATAAAATACAAATTAATGAGTGCAAAAGAATGGAGAAAAAATATAAAATAATGGACACAAAACAATGGATAAAAAATAAAAAATACAAATTAATGAGTGCAAAAGAGTGGAGGAAAAATATAAAATAATGGATACAAAACAATGGATAAAAAATATAAAATACAAATAAATGAAAATGCAAAATGGATACAAAACCACAAAACAATGGATACAAAATGCAAAACTGGATACAAAATAATGAATGCAAAACAATGGATACAAAATATAAAATAATGGATACAAAATACAAAACAAGGGATACAAAATACAAAACAAGGGATACAAAATACAAACTATTGCATTCAAAATACAAACCATTGAATATAAAATACAAAATTATTGAATTCAAAATGCAAATTAGTGAATCCAAGATAATGAATACAAAATACAAATTATTGAAATATAAATGAATGAATACAAAATACAAAACAATGAATACAAAATAAAAATGAATGGATACAAAATCAGAATACAAAAATCAAAGTAATGAATGTAAAATACAAAATTATGAATACAAAACCAAATTATTGAATACAAAATACAAAATAATGAATACAAAATACAAATTATTGAATTCAAAATACAAACTTGTGAATTCAAAATAGAAAATAATGAATTCAAAATAAAAAATAATGAATAAAACCCCAAAATAATGAATTGGGGGCTGAGATGATTGTCAGTGGGACTGCCAGGAGGGTTTTGCCCACAGTAATGAATACAAAATTATGTAAAATACAAAATTATGAATACAAAACCAAATTATTGAATACAAAATACAAAATAATGAATACAAAATACAAATTATTGAATTCAAAATACAAACTTGTGAATTCAAAATAGAAAATAATGAATTGAAAACACAAAATAATGAATAAAAACCCCAGAATAATGAACTGGGGGCTGAGATGATTGTCAGTGGGACTGCCAGGAGGGTTTTGAAGCCTGATTCTCTTCATTGATCTACTGCAATCAAAGGTAAGTTTTGCCTTAAGGAAAAAAATGCAACTGGTTTGATACAGATTTTGTTAAATCCAGGTTTTTTTCTGGGCTAGAAGAATCTTTCTGTGGCAGAGATATTGTTGAAAAATTCTTGATCACCCAGAGAACCACAGAGGCTTGGAGACCTTGAATTTCTTTTAAAAAATGGAGAATGGGAATTGTTTTTTCATGGGCTGTCCTTCCAAAACAGCCCCAAGGAGATTCAGGCAGTAATTTAGTGCAGTTAGCAGGTAATTAACATGTTTGTTATTTTATATATTGATACCATATATTCATATGTTTATTTATTGTATTAATGTAATTAACATTGCTGGTAATATGTTTAGGAAAGCTTTTTAAAAGACCCAAAATATGATTTTTACCTACAGAACACAAAGGGTGCAGAGCAGCCACACCTCTGCACCCCTGAGTGGCTGCAAAGGCTGAGGACAGGACAGAAATTGATCCCTTAATGAATTCAAGTCGTTAATTGTTACCTTGTGAGCTGCTGCAGCCTCGAGGTGGACTCAGGGACAAACATGGCAATGGTTCTTTTGTGCCTGAAACAAAGCAGAGCCCAGAAGCTCAGGGATGAAGGAATAAAAAGCAGGATTTTTGTATTTATGGAGGCACAGAATTCCTGACACATCAGGAACTTTCCTTCACACCTTTCCCACATCAGGAACTTTCCCTTCACACCTTTCCCACATCAGGAACTTTCCCTTCACACTTTTCCCTTTCACACTTTCCCTTCAAGAGGGTTTGTTGGCACAGGAACAACAGATCTTCCTCCCTTCCCAGTGGAGGGAATGAGAATTTATTGTGTGGGGAACTGAGCTTCACATCTGGGCTCCTTCCAGGCCAGTCTGGGCTTCCCAGGATTACCAAAACTAATTTAGTGATGAAAGAATCCTGCTAGAAAATCTCTGTGAACCGACAGGGCGCGGCGAGGAGATTTTGGGGAGCTTTTTTTGATGCAGCAACAGCAGAAGGAGTGGCCCAGGGTGGGTGGGAGCCCTGCAGGTGCTCACCTGCCGGGCACGAAGGGCAGGTGCACAGCTCCGTAGCCTCGGACCACGTCGTGCCCAAAGAAGTCAGGCCCGTAGACGCTGAGCACGATCTGCGGCCCTGCAGGGACAGACAGACAGGGCTCAGGGGGGCTCGGGCACCGCGGGCAGCCCCCCCCGGCACTCACAGCCGAACGGGTTGGTGCTCTTGAAGGTGATGTCGATGGGGAAGTTCCACACCAGCGTGGTGGGCGAGACGCTGCTCTTGGAGGTGATCTGCGAGATGCCCTCCTCCAGGCCCTGCGGGGAGCCGCGGCTGAGCGGGGGCTGCGCGGAGCCCGGGGAGGGGACAGGGGACACGGGGACACGGGGTGGGGACAGGGGGACACGGGGAGGGGACAGGGGGACACGGGGAGGGGACAGGGGCGGTACCGCCGTGGGGACCCAGTCCGGGCCGTAGACAAAGGAGAACTTGCAGTAGAGGTCATCGAATCCCGGGAACTGCGGGGGAGAGAGGGAGAGAGAGAGAGGGAGGGTTTACTGGGAGTTCACTGGGAATTCACTGGGAATTGCTGGGGGTGAGGATCTGCCCGAGTCAGGGTGCTGAGGGCAGAGAGACTGGGACAGACGGGATGGATCTGGGGGATGAGGCTGGGATGGGTTAAAAAGCTGAGGCTGGGATGGATTTTGGGGGGCTGAGGCTGGGATGGGTTTGGGAGGATGGCATGGCATGGGTTAAGGGGGATGAAGCCAAGCAGGGTTATGGGGGCGCTGAGGGTGTGCAGGGTCGGGTGGGATGAGGATGGTTTGAGGTTTGGGGATGAGGATGGTTTGAGGTTTGGGGATGAGGATGGTTTGAGGTTTAGGGTTGAGGCCGGCCAGGATCGGGCGGGCAGATCCTCATCCCGCGCGCGGGCGGACGCAGCACCGAGACCGAGACCGGGCCAGGGCGATCCCCCCACCCCTCCGCGCTGTCCCGCTGTGCCTCCCGCGGTGTCCCCGAGGGTTAGGGGGATGAAGCCAAGCAGGGTTATGGGGGCGCTGAGGGATGGTTTGAGGTTTGGGGATGAGGATGGTTTGAGGTTTGGGGATGAGGATGGTTTGAGGTTTAGGGTTGAGGCCGGCCAGGATCGGGCGGGCAGATCCTCATCCCGCGCGCGGGCGGACGCAGCACCGAGACCGAGACCGGGCCAGGGCGATCCCCCCACCCCTCCGCGCTGTCCCGCTGTGCCTCCCGCGGTGTCCCCGGCCCTCCCGCACCTCCCCGCTCTCGATCTCGCCGCTCACGGCCAGCAGGAACACGCTGGGCGCCGCCATGGCGGGCACGCCGGTTGCCGTGGCGACGGACGGGGCGGCGCAGCGGCCAAAGTTCCCCGGCGCCGCGCTTCGCTTCTCTTCGCGGGGCTCCCGATCCGCAAAATATCCCTAAAATCACCCAAAAAATCCCCACAAAACACGGCCACGCCACCTCTGGAACCCCCCGGCACCCCCGGCATGGGTGTCCCCGGGCGGATACTACCCGCTCCCCTCAGCCGCTGAGCCCGCCCGGCGCTGCCCCGTTATCCTCGCACCGCCACGTGTCCAGAACTTTATTTATTATTATTATTATTATTTAAGATCAGCCTAAAGCAACCCCAGCCGGGGATGCGGCCTGCCCAGGGGATGGGCACGGCCCTAAAGCTGCAGAACTTCAGGGACAGCTCTCTGAGGGGCGCGCAGGGTTTGGGTGTTCGGAGCCGGACGGGATGCCAGGACGGGCTGGGATGATCCAGCCCGGGATATTCCCCATCCTACAATTCCATGTGTGGAGACCGTGGCCACTAGATGATGCTGCCGGGCAAGGGCCGGAGCAGGAGAGGAGGGAAATGGTGGAATTTGTGCTCTCTGGAGGCTGAGCCCCGGCGTGAGGCGAGGGGCCCTCCGTGCCCTCAGCAGCGCGGGTTTAACCGCGGGGAGCGGAGAAATGCCCTCACACCGCCGGCTGCGTGTGGGCGGGAAACAGCGCGGCGCTGCGTTAATTATCCCGCCCTAATTAAACACGGAGAGGGGGAGTTGGGTGTGTAAGTGAGGATGGACGTGCTGGGGCTTTGCAAGAGCTGCGCCCACTGAGGTCTGGTGATGGCGGCTTGTTTTGATGGTGACCGCGGTGTGAGGGGGACAGGACGGGGCTGGCCCGGTGCTGTGACAGTGCTGGACTGGTGCTGTGACAGTTCTGGACTGGTGCTGTGACAGTTCTGGATTGGAGCTGTGACAGTTCTGGACTGGTGACACAGTGCTGGCCCCATGCTGTGACAGTTCTGGACTGGTGGCACGGTGCTGGCCCAATGCTGTGACAGTGCTGGCCCCGTGCTGTGACAGTTCTGAACCTGTGCTATGACAGTTCTGGACTGGTGACATGGTACTGGCCCCGTGGCAGTTCTGGCCTGGTGGCACAGTGCTGGCCCCGTGCTGTGACAGTTCTGGCCTGGTGACACGGTGCTGGCCCGGTGCTGTGACAGTTCTGGACTGGTGGCACAGTGCTGGCCCGGTGCTGTGACAGTTCTGGCCTGGTGGCACGGTGCTGGCCCATCAGGACCCTGGTTGTGCCAGGGCATTTGCTGCCCACACGCACACGTCAGGGCCATGGAGGCTGCCCAGCCTGGCTGTGGTTCATCCTCCTCCTCCTCCTTTCCACATCCCAGGCCACCTTCCCCTCTCCACGAGGAGTTTTCGGGGTGTTCATTGCTGCCAGACCCTCTGGGGAAGCGTGGGAGGAGTGGAGGGAGCCCTTCCACGTTTCAGTAGATGTGTTCTCTGTCAATACCTATTTCAACTCGGTTTTCCAGGCCAAACAAATGTGGCCAAGAGAAGAATGGGACAGGGAAGCAGGAGGGATGGGAGGGAATGCCTGAAATGTTATCCTTTCTCCACAGCCCTTCAGAAATGCTTCAGGGAAAAGAATTCATTTGAACTGAAAATGATCAGGGGTGTGGGGGGGAGGTAGAGCAGCTCTGGAGCAGCTGTCTGGAGCAGCTAGTGAGGCTGTTTAATTAACACTGCACTTGGCTACCAGCTACCTTGGAGCCAATTTCAAGACATTTTTGTTGCCTGGCAGGTGATATACAGCTGCTGGAGGAGTTCTCCCAGCAATAGGAGACCTTCCCCATGGCAGGGAGACAGCAGGGGGGTTATTCAGCAGCCGTGAGTCATCTGTACCTGCATCTGGAAGGACTCTGTCCCTCCCAGCCACAGCAAGACTTTTTATTCTTCCCTTCTTTGCATGCCAGCCTTGTTTTAATTAGCTGTATTTTTAATCTTTGTGAGCAGAGTGAAATCCCAAGCAAGGAAGTGGTTTTATCCTGCTGGAAAACTTAATTAATGCTCCATCAGAGAGTTTGATTTCCAAGCATGATGAAGGTTTGTGGATGGCGGTGACCCCATGGGTGTTATTTAGCAATGCTGCTGTTTCTCCTGGCTGTTTAAAACATTCTCCTCTTCTCCAGGACTTGTCCTGATCCTGTGATTTTCACAGGAAGCCTCCCCGGGGTGTTTGGAGCCACAGTCATCCTCCCAGGGAGGAAGGACACGCTCCTGCTGGTCACTGGCTTGTCACCTCTTGCAGGTTGGATCCCAGCTCCTGGAGAGCCATTCCCAGTTTCCCTGCCACGCTGACCTCTGTGCTGGAGGCATGGAGTGGAACAGCTGAGGGAATTACGTTTGCTTCATTCCCAGCAAGAGCTAAGGGCTGGAAAAATGAAAAAAAGAAAAAAAATCCAAATTGCTGGGAGCTCTGTCACTGGGAGCTTCTGAATCCAACCCAGGCACCGTGACCTGCCCAGGCTGCCTGGCTCGGGGTCCAGGGAGGCTGGAGAGTGGTGGTGAGCCCTTTCCCTGGGTTTGCCCTGGAATTGCCTCTGGATGAGCCCTGGGGAGGGCAGGCAGAGTGGAAAGACAGCCTGTGCTGCAGGGAGGGAGCAGGAGCAGCTCCTTTGCCTCCATTACCTGCTCGAGCCCCACCACAGGGGCTCAGCACAAACGTTTATTTCGAATCCCAAATATTTATGATCAACACCTGGTAAACGGCCAGTGAAGTACATTTGATGGTGTCATTAATCTGCAATAAAGCTTTTGTATTTTTAGAGTTGTTTGCACAGCGTTGACTCATCCCTGCCTGCCAGGAGGCTGCGGGGAGCTTCCCTGCCCTTTGTCTTCCCTGCCTTTTGCTCCTGCTGCTCAAATCCAACAGGGAGTGGGTGAGATCTCAAGGCAGCACACACGGGGGGCTATTCCTGCTGTAATTCCTGCTGACTATACTTACCTGGTGGTGGGAAGGCACCTGGGTGTTCCGTGGCTGAATCCCAAAATGATTTATGTTGGAAATGACCTTAAAGCTCATCCAATTCCAGCCCACCTTCCACAATCCCAGCTTGCTGTCCAGCCTGTCCTTGGACACTTCCAGGGATGCTCCCTGTGTCCATGTGGCTGCCAGCCCCATGCCAGGGGCCCTGCTGGGCACTGTCGCTGCCAAGGAGCTGTGAAGTGCCTGGTCTTCCCTGAAGAATTAATTTGTATTGGAACTCGTTATCATTGGTGAGATTTCTTTTGGTTAACGAGCAAAATGAATTAATGAGCCAGTCAGAATAAATTGACACAGAGGCAGGGAGGGGAGGGGGTGAGGAAGACCTGGGGAGGTGGTGCCCAGAGGGACAGCTGGATTTCATAGGGACATAAGGAATAAAAGCAGGGAGAAGAGGGGAAGGTAAACAAGCTCCTTTCCTGCCAGGCATGGAGCCCTCCTGCTTGTGTCCAGTGGTAACTGCATTTTTTGGGAATAACTCAGGTGGGAATTGTGTTTTCCATGCATCCAGCAGACCCTGCAGACGTGGCCATGGGCCTCAGCAGCTTGTGCCTCCACGTGGGGCAAAGCAGAATCAGAAGAAGCTGCTCCAGGGGACTTCAATCAAATATTCAAATCATTAATCTGGATCTTCCCTGTGGTGTGACTTAATGAGGGTCGTTGGCATTTTCTCCCTCTCGTTGTGAAAAGATTTATTTTTCACTGGATAGCCCAACATCCACAGCTGGAAAAAACCAACCCAAGGCTGACCTACAAGTGAGGGACACGGGTGAAGGGTCCTGGCACGAGGAGCAGCCCAAGCTGGGCGTGGGACACTCCTGGTGACATCTGTGCATCAGTGAATGCCAGGGAATTATAGAATGTCCTGAGTTGGAAGGGACCCACAGAATCATCGAGTGGTGCCGAAATCCAGGGGGTGCCTCAGTGCCACTGCACATCCCCCATCCCAAGCAGCCCCTCAGCACCTTCCCAACCTCCAGAGAGGGGCTGACCCCGTGGAAAGGGCCAGAGCAGCCTGTGGCAGCACCACAATGCTGGAAGAGGATGGAGCACCCACCTGGTGTGAGCTGGAGTTATTCCAGGGGCTCAGCAGGGTTCCAGCAGAGAGACATGAGCTGCTCAAAACCCAAAAGAGCCACAGAGATTTCAGCTCCTGTGGCTCTGTCAGGGTGTGCTAAAATTCCTAATTAAGCCCCCTCGTCTGGAGGATGAGGTGGCCCCAGCCATTAAAACCCAGCCATGGTTTGAAAACTTAATAGGGGAAATTTAATGGATGAAGTCAATTGAATTATTCATCCCCAGAAAGCTTGTACAAATATCAAATGCTTATTAGCATTCATGCAACCTGTATGATCTCACAGCTCTGACAGATTAAGGCTGGGGCTAATTGCACCCAGGATGGCGTCAGATTTGGTGCTTGGTATTTTTTAAAGCTTTTTTCCCTCCCCAGCATGACAAAGAGAATTTCAGATCGATGCCATCTGAGATTTACCCTTGAAGCAGAGCCCCTGTGATGGTTTCCTTCCTCAGCATGGTGGTTTTTAATCCCTGTTTGATTCCTGCTCCTCCAAGGGTGCTGAGGTGGCTCTGGGCCAGCCCAGATGGACACGGCGCCCATCCCTGTGGCTTTGCTGGAATGGAGAGTGCTGGGGCAGAGTCTGCCTGATTAATGGACAGGACTGAATGGCCATTAAAAATGCAAAATAGAAATCGATCCAATTAAATAATCATGACTTGCATTTAGCCCGTGCTTTTCACTTCCGATCTTAAGCGAGGCTCGCAGACAGTCCAGGGGGAAATAGCTTAATGCTGCAGAGATTTAATCAACAAAATTAACACTGCTGATGTTAAATAGTTTCTCTGATCATGGCCAGGTTTGGGGATGCAGCTGGGGGGGTTTTGCACCTGCAAGTCCAGGTGAGTGTCCCCAAAAGAGGCATCAGGGAGCAATCCACGGTCACTCTCTGCTCTTGGGAAATTCAGTCTGAGCTTGAT